GCCCTCTAGGAGCGGGCAACCTGGAAAGTGGACGAGATTAAGACAAAGTACACAGCATAGTGATCTCCTGAAAGTCGTTTTTGAGTGGCTGAAGGGTAGAGGAAGGACGGGTCTATTTGGTGTCTCCCTGTGCTACCCTTCTGGCCTCAGTTAAGGGTAGACAGCGGATGTATGTATTCAGTGCCACACTGGATAACTGGGGACTTCCTTTGCGGCTGGGAGGACCCCCGCTCAGAATGTAGGATCAATGCTGCACCAGGAGCCCAGAGCTTCCTAAAGGCAGGTGAAGCTGGGTATGAACTGGTGAGCTGGGCATGAGCAGGTGTGAGCCAGGAGTAAGCAGGGCAGGGCGGAACTCCTGGGCCTCCACCTGTCCTGGGGTCAGGACCTCCGGTCCCTGGAGACCTCCCCTTGATGGCCCTCCAACAGCCCTGAGAACAAGCCCTATAGGGAAGGTAGTCTACCTCAGGAGACTGCGGTCCAGAGGAGCGGCCTGGGGCCCACAGTGTTGAGCATCCCCTTCCTCTTGCCATCTCTGGGCTCAGATATGCAAACCGCACCTGTGATACAGGTCTTGACTTTCCCATGGCTCTTTCCTCAGGGGTCCCCCTGACACTTGGTTTTTGCCCTTGGTGCAGGGTCCTGAAACACTCTGTGGACGCCACCTATGAGGAGGAGGGCCCAAGCCATGGGTATCACATGGAGCTATCCATCTTCTTCATGGTCTACTTCGTGGTCATCCCCTTCTTCTTCGTCAACATCTTTGTGGCCTTGATCATCATCACCTTCCAGGAGCAGGGGGACAAGGTGATGTCTGAATGCAGCCTGGAGAAGAACGAGGTGGGTGGCTCCCTCTTCTGCCCCATGTGCACGTGTGCATTGGATGCTCTGCTGGGCTCCCCTGATGGGCAGCATGGGCAGAACCACTGGACTTCCCTTCCGCATGGGACTCGCTCATCACTGCATAGCTGGTGGCAGCACAGGGGCAGGGAGAGACTGAGTGTGGCTGGTCAGGGCTGCCTGCGAGGATGGAAGAGACAGGTGTGGGGTGCAGTGGGTGCTGCAGTGTGGGGTTCCCCCCAACCCCACCATGTTCTCAGTGCTCCTTTGTCCCCGGGCAGAGGGCTTGCATCGACTTCGCCATCAGCGCCAAGCCCCTGACACGGTACATGCCCCAGGACAAGCAGTCATTCCAGTACAAGACATTGACATTTGTGGTCTCGCCTCCCTTCGAGTACTTCATCATGGCCATGATCGCCCTCAACACAGTGGTGCTAATGATGAATTTATGTTGGCCCATTACGGGGGACAGTGGGTGCCAGCTGGGGTGTGACAGAGAGAGAGAGAGAGAGCCATAGTTGCAGCTGATCACGTCCTGGTCAACATGGCATGCCTATAGAAGCCCAGTGCCCTGGGTTCTCTGTCGGCTGAGATGGTGAGAGTGTCCTGGGAGAAAACAAGGAGAGCAGGGATGGGTACCCCTACCCTGGGCAGGTGTGCAGTTCTCTCTGCTCTGTTAGGACGTCAAGGCTGGGGTGTCTTGGGGCAGCCGAACCTGTAGCCAATGGCACTTATTCCCTGTGCATTTCTATGATGCACCATATGAATATGAGCTAATGTTAAAATGCCTGAACGTTGTGTTCACATCCATGTTCTCCATGGAATGCGTGCTGAAGATCATCGCTTTTGGGGTGCTGGTAGGTGCCTTGGCTCCCTCTTGGCCTTTTGGTGGTCTGCATTCTGGCTCCCTCTCTGTAGGGGGGATCTTCAGGGACTTGTAGCTTAGAGCTGGGAATTCCCCAAGCCCCCAGAGCAAATGTGACATTGCAGGGGCTCCTGAGGAAGGGGCTGCTCCAATACCCTGAGCTGCCTGAGCTCTGCCCCTAGCCCAGTTCCTGGAGACAGGCGGGGCCAGGCTCCTCCTCTTTGGACACACAGCTCTCAGTTCTGCACCTGCCCAGACCCACAGGTGTTTGCTTACCCAGCTGCGGTGTACCCCCTGGGTGGGCCATCGGTCCCTTTGCTCCTTTCTTGATTGGGGTACTTCCTGCAACACCTTGCCTGGCAGAACCCTTACCAGCCTCTAGTAGTAACTGCTCTTTCTTCTCTCCAAAACTATTTCAGAGATGCCTGGAACGTCTTTGACTTTGTCACTGTTTTGGGAAGTATTACTGATATTTTAGTAACAGAGATTGCA